TACAATAACCAGGTTGGGTAGCTACTCTGGATGATGCACCTCTTTGATAAAACCGGCAGCTAAAAGCTAGGTTATTTCTACCCTAATGGCCTCCTTTTTGTCCTACGCGAATCATTGAAGATTCTGCTTGATCGGCTTGGAGGTTGCCGAGACATTTAAGGAGTGCTCGATCAGCTCCTGATGTACGTCGGGCATGTCCACAGGTTTCCACACAAACATGTCGATGTGCTCCCTTAGGAAGCTGATGAGCGCGTCTTCCTATTTAGGTTCAAGGCCGGCTCCGATCTGAGCGGTCTTAGACCGGTCGCTAGGGATGAGGGCTACCTCCTTCACCTCCTTGGACTTGGTCGATGCTCAGGTGGCCTCCATCGTGGGGATCTCCATGTCCTCTGGTGATATCTGCTGCGAGGTAGCGATGCGGTCCTGCATGCGGATGGAGATGTCAGTAGCCTCAGCAAGCGCAAAGCTTTCCTTCTCACAGGCATAGACGATGTCGAGGTTGGCACATAGGGAGAGGATCCCCTGATCCGTCAACATCTTCAACACCAGATACGTGTAGTGCGGCATGGCCATGGACTTGGCAAGAGCTAGTCGGCCGAGGATAGCGTGGTATGCTATGTTGAAGTTGATGTAGTCAATGCGGAAGTGCTTGGAGGTGCTGAACTGCATGGGTAGGGTGATCTGTCCTAGGGGTTGTGACGCCTTCCTAGGGATAATCCCCTAGAATGGAGAGTCCATGGGGGTGAGGTCTTCCTTCTTGAGTCCTAGCTCGGCTAGGGATCCGGTGAACAAGATGTTGAGAGCGCTTCCTTCGTCAATGAGGACCATCTGGAGTTGCATGACCCGGATGATGGGATCCAGGACGAGAGGAAAATGCCTAGGATATAGGATATCTACCCACTGGTCGGCCCAAGAGAAGGTGATCGGGTGCTCCGACCAGTCAAGTTACTTGGGGTCAGCGATGGTCTCATCGTAGCTAGAGACCGACATGACGCATCGGGCAACAAGCTTCTGCTCTCATTTGTCTTCAGAGGCTGCTCAACCATCGAAGATGGAAGCTACAGTCTTGGCGGCATCCTGGTAAGTAGGGCCTGCATCCTTCTCCTGTCCTCCGCCTTGACCGTCATCTGTATCGTCATCGTTGCGCCGTGGCCTCTTCTTGTCCTCCACGTGGAAAGCCCTGTTTAGGCCTTTGCACTCTCCCATGGCATGCTTGACGCCTTTATGGATAGGGCATAGGCCATCTAGGAGATTGGCATAGTCGGCGTCATAGGTGCGCTTAGCATGAGTAGGGTTGATGGCATTGACTGAGTTATTAGGACTATGGTGGTGGTTCTGTCTATCTCTTGAGCTCCCCAGGTGGTCATCACGTCGGTGCTCACGGTCATCGAGGCGATGGTCACGCTTGTCGCAATGGCGGTCACAATCGTCGAGGCAGCGGTCGCTATCGTCGTAACGCCTTTCTTCGCAATGGTTGTCATAATGGCATTGAGGGCGATTAGAGCGGGCGGCCTGCTCAGCTTCCTAGGCATCAGCGTAGCTATTCGCTATCTGTATCAGCTCATCGATGATTCTAGGCCTCTTGCGGTAGAGCTTTCCCCAGAGCTGCTCGTGCTGGAGCCCCTTGGTGAATGCGTCGATAGCCTCACCTTCGCTGATGTTGGGGATGGAGTTCCTAGTCTCCGAGAAGCGCCTGATGAAACCATGCAGGGAATCCCTAGAGGTCTGATGAAGCTTTTCCAAGTCGTAGTTGGTGCCCAGCTGTTCACTAGTGGCCATGTAGTTCTCGGTGAAGACCTTCTTGAGGTCACCCCAAGATCAGAGAGAGTCTTCTCGTAAGCTGAGGAGCCAGTTGTTCGCAGACTGGTTGAGCATGATGGGCAGATAATTTGCAATCACGTCTTCATTTCCACTGGCAGCCCTCACGCTGATCTCGTAGAGCGTTAACCACTGTGCAGGGTTGGCCTTGACATCGTAGGTGTCCACTCCAACTATCTTGAAGCACACAGGCCACCGGATAGCTCGGAGTCCTGCCGTGAAGGGGTGAAGTCTGGGGGCGGGTGGTGCTCAGGTGGCACCGGGTGCTCCATGCTCGGTGTCAAATTGGCACCGGCGTTCCATCTTCGCTTCATAGCACGCAACCCTACTATTCTTAATGCGATCTCGGGCTTTGATATTGGCGTTGATGTGTTCGCGAACGTCATACGATAGGGGTTGATTCACCTCCTGGTTGGCGCTGCGGTTACCGCCTCGGCAGCTCGGTGGATGAGGTGGTCGTTTGCCCTAATCAGCATATCCTTCGAAGTTGCCCCTGGGTCCTTAATAAAGGTAGGGCCCACCGGCTTAGGGTCGAGGGTGCTTGGAGCCTCGATGTTGACTTCCTCTATCGTGGCAGGAGCGACGACTGTGAGCCGACATGGTTGAGTAAGATGGAGTAGGATGCCAGATCTCGTTGACTTGAACTTGAGCCGCCATGACGTGCTCCTAGATCTTCTCAACTTCTGAAGTCTGTGGGAGCTTCTCTAGGTCATTGAAAATGATGGTGATATTGGCGCTTGGTGTCTTCTATACCGGCTGGTTGCCCACCATGTCGAACTCATCCTCTAGATTGCGGCGTGCGTGGTGCGGGGCGTTAGGATCCCCATCAACTCCACGAGTGGCTTCCTCATCTCGGCGACATTGTCAGTCGGCGTTCTTTGCTAGGCGAGCATTGCGCTCATCGGTGGTATCGCCGTCTCTAGTGATGCTGTCGTGGCTGACATGAAAAATCATGCCTCCGAACCCCGAAGGGAACATAGGGCAGCTGGAGGCAGTCTTGGTTGAGCCCTCGGAATACTCGTCTGGGCTTTCTTCCAAAACATTGTGGAGGGACCCCTCCAGAAGCTGGCGAATATTCACCATGTTCACCATGGGCGTGGGCTGATTAGACTTAGTCGGATCAATCATGTAGAGGTTGATGATGCGGTCACGCTCGATGTGGTCGACGAAATGGATCTCGCACCCTCTAGCCCAAAGGGATAGGTCCTCGGTGGGTTCTCCATCAGGGCCTCATAATCGGCCAAGCATAGGCCAGTAGCAGGGAGTGGTCGGTCGTACTGCGCACCCCTCCGATGTGGCTGTGATCACTAGATCTGAATCTGGCCACCTCATACGATGTGGCCGAGCAGGTCACTCGGTTGTAGCGGCTTGGTGATCTTGGAGTGCAGGAACTTCGTCGCTCGCTCTAGATTGATCTAAGACCGAATCCACGAGGAGCTAGCATTTCGCTAAGCGGTCTGTGACCCGATCGATGGATGCAATCAGATTGTCATTACTGATGGATCTCCTAACCTAGCGGCGGGGCACTGGGATCAGAGATGTCATTGGATATGCTGGCACGATCGGTGTAGGGTGATTCTGCACCACCTCCATGATTTCTTCGATGCCGTCGGCACCGATGACCTAGGTCATAGATCCAACCGTGAAGATGAGGCCTGGCTCAGGAAGAATCATGGAGCTCGGGAAGCAGACCATCTGGTTCGCCATGGATTCAGCACGCACACCCCCTACCTGGCGCACACTATCGACGAAATCTGGTCGGTAGTCTACCAAGGGGTATGCCCATGGTAGTAGATGAATCAGTGGAGGGCACATGAAGGAACTAGATGGTGACACAGAACGCAAGAGACAGTGTTTAGACAGGTTTAGATCGTCAGCTTGACGTAATACCCTACGTCATGTGTCTTTGGTGGATTGTATTATGAGATATCGAATGAAAACGAGGGGTCCCTACCCGCCTTATATAGCTTGAGGGGTAGGGTTACAGGTCGGTTGAATCTAGTCCTGATTGGTTACAAGATATCTATTTACAAGGAATACAACATCTTTAGCATATCTGATCAGATCATCCTTGACCGCCAAGGATCTTCACGTAGCCTTGCGAGGCACGCCGACCTGTGTTGTGCTCCTCATGGCGTAGTCCTGTGGGCTGGGCCTCCCCTGGCGGCTCGGCCCATGTACAACCCTGTTGGTATCGAGGTCATACCCCCACAGCACCCCACTTCGCCTCGCTGCTGCCGTGCGCCCATCCTGCACCGCTTGCTCTCGCCTGTCGCGCTCGCCCATCCTGCGCCGCTCACTCCCGCCCATCGTGTGCGTCGCCCTCCCGACTAAGCCAAGCCTAGTGCTGCTAGCGATGGTTGTGGTGGTGCTCGCGCGGTGCTGGCTCCGAATCCGATGGCTAGAATCGCTTGGCCCCGAGCTCCCTAATGTGCAAGCACATGTTTCAAGTGTTTCGGAAGTTTCGTAGGTATATGTTTCAAGTGTTTCGTGCGGACGTTACAAAAGTAGATCGGGATGTTGCATATATCGCAAGGATTGTACACGTATGTTGCAAGTGTCTGTACCCAATGTTTCATCTGTTTTTTCAGACGTATGTTGCAAGTGTGTTTATGTAGATATTGCATATGTTTCACACACATGTTGCAAGTGTTTTATCTAGATGTTGCATATGTTTGCAATTGTTTTTCATGTGTTTTTGCATGTGTTTCAGGCGCATGTTTTGAATGTTTCAATTATTTTGTACGTATGTTGCAATTGTTTCATTTGGATGTTTCAAAAGTAGATCGAGGGTGTTGTGCATGTTGCAATATGAGCCACTTGCCCCAGCTGCCTGATGCAGTTGCTGGGGCGCATTGTATGGAGGGGAGCGGTTCAGCAGTTATGAAGGGGCACGGGGAAGCGTGGGGGAGTGGTGCGAGCAGGCCCTGCGTGTGCGTGCAGCAGGTGCTGGCATGGGCGTTGCAGCAGGCGTGGGGTCCGTCCGAGCGCTAGTGCTGCCGTTATCAATTTCATACATGACAATCCGTTTCACTATTATTAGCACACATGAAGTCCTTGCAAAAGCAAAATGAATGTTGATCTTGGCATTCACCAGCTTTTTTTACTACAAGATTCAAGGAGCTACGGTGCTAACAACAATTACTATTTCTAGGGTAAAATGCGCGCAGTGTTTCTAGTATTCATTCGAGACCATCGTAAATCCTTCTCCTGTAATCGGTGAGCCTCTCTATCTCTCTCTTGGCCGCTGGGTCGCCATTGCCCCTTCTCAGCTTGGCGATCTGGCTGTCAATGCTCTTAACCTGCATATATACAAGTAAATCCCCATTGCTGATTACTTTAACAGTAACAATGTGTGTAACAAATCATCATCCGGAGATATAAATTCAAGAGATTAGGAAGCAAATCGAGAAGCTAGCTAGGTACCTACCGGTAAGGCCAGCGTCGTATGTGGAACTTACGGCTGGTGCCCTTGAGGACAGTGGCACAGATGCGTTCCTTGGCGGCCTCCACCATCAGGAGGTGGAAGTAGCGCGCAATGTCGTCCAGCTGCTAAGGATGGCAACGGATCGGGTTTAGGGCGGATATCCGCGGGTTTCGGGTTCTGCGGGTTCAGGTTTGGAGATGGTTTTTCACCCACGGTTTTCGGGTTCGGGGCCCCGAAACCAATCGGGTTCGGTTTCGGGTTTGGTTTTCCACCCGTGGATATCCAATGGATATCCGAAATAAATCATTTGGAATTAAAACTCATGTTTTATAATATACTAATAATAATTTGTTTACTTAGATTATTAAATTTATTTAAAGTTGACTCATAAAAATATTTATTATTTGTTGCCTCTTGTTTATACATGTGAATATGTGTATATATATACGCGGGTTTCGGGTATCCATTCGGGTTTCGGGTATCCGTTCGGGTTTTGGATATCCGCGGGTTTGGTTTTGGTGATGGATTTCCACCCGAATCGGTTTTCGGGGCGGATTCGGGTTTCGATTTCGGGTTTCGGTTTTGGGTGCACGGAGACTCCACCCGATCCGAACCCGACCCTTTGCCATCCTTACCAGCTGCAGATTGCTCGCTCTCTCCCTCTGCAACATGAGATTACCAAACTCCGTTTACTTAGATGCATTGTTTAATTAGCATGGTAATATGAAATGCTGCTTTATCCTAATAATAAAGAGGACGCAATTAAACATCATTTCTCTTTGGATTGGATGCCGTCTCCCCGTGCTGTGTGTATATATATATATGGTCCATCATATATATGATTTTAGAAATTCCCTTTCTCCACCCTACTATAGAGTTACTACAATATAAACGATTTTTAGACACTACGCCAGATTTGCACATCACTGTCGGATTTATGAGAACCGGCAGTGATGTACCTTCACTGCCGGTTATGAGCTTGAAAATAAAAAAATGATTAGGGCTGGGATAAAACCGACAGTGAAGGACCACATCACTGACGGTTTGTGGCTTGAACCGGCAGTGTTTTGGTGGGCACTCATCACTGCCGGTTTAAGCCAAGAGCCGATAGTGATTGGGCTCTATCACTGTCGGTTCTAGCCAAGAACCGACGGTGATAAGCCTACAACACAAAAAGACTGCAGCCGTCCTCTCCTTCCTCCTCTCTTTCATCCCGAGAACAGAGGCGCGCGTTTGGACCATTCCCTCCATTATTGCGGCTGCTCTTCACCATGAAGCTAGTGCTTGGATTTTGAAGAATGGCTTGATCTTTTTGATTTAAGGTTAGTAACAAACATACACTCCTTTGATTTTGTTGCTTAATTAGCTTCGTTTTAATGGCTACATTGCTTGATTCTCATTCTAGTTCTTTCTCTATTCTAGGGAGCACTTTTTCGATTGGACATTTATGCAAGGCTCAAATTGTGGTGAATCCATTATTCAAAAGTTTGGTGTCTATGAACCACATTTAACTTCCTAGCTAATTATTCCATGGTGGTCAAGATCATCATTGTTAGTATGTGATGCTATAATTAGTTCTTAGAAGTAGAGTAGAATAGTTGTTCTTTAATATTGTGCAATAATTATTTTTTACTACGATTTTCAATTTACAGGGCCGGAGCTACCAATTTCAATTTTTCAATAATTAGTGTACAATAATATTTTCCAAAAATGGTACTTTCGAGCTACAATTGTTGTTCATGAAGCTCGATTTCTTATTAATTCTTTGTAATTACTGTCTCAGTATTTTTTTGTGTAGAAATGGATTGAGAGTGGATGCATCTGTCCCGAACGGACAAGCAGTACATGCATGGCGCCAACCAGTTTATCACCGATGCCAAAGTCCATGCTGCGAATGGGAACCCTGTCTTCTGCCCATGCAAAGATTGCAAGAATCATAGGAACTTTTGTCAAATTGAGTCTATATGATCGCACTTGATTACCAGGGGGTTCATGCCAAACTATACGATATGGACTATGCATGGCGAGGTTGGTGTGAATGTTCTGCAGGAAAACGATGATGATGTGGACATGCCTGACGTAACCATCCACGATGCTGACGAGGAACCCGGTGTCAACACGGAACCTATGGCCACAGTTAATAATGTGTTTAGGAACACGCTAGCTGACGACACTGAGGATAACAATGGCATTTCTCAGCTGCTACGTAATGTAGAGACCGGATGTCTTAGTGAAAGACAACTGAGAAAGCTAGAGAAAATGAGACAAGATGACAAAACACCATTGTATAGAAATTGTCCAATGAGCAAACTGGAAGCCGACATCATGCTGTTAGAGTTCAAATCGATAAACGGATTGAGCGATAAAGGCTTTGATCAGTTGTTAGGTATAATAAGGAAAATGCTCCTAGAAAAAAACGAGTTGCCAGAAAAGACATACTTGGCCAAGCAAATGATCTGTCCCATCGGCCTCGAGGTTGAAAAAAATCTACGCGTGTTCCAATGATTGCATATTGTACTGTGGAGAAAAATACAAAGACTTGGACAAGTGCCCCAAGTGTGAAGCTCCATAGTACAAGGAAGGGCCGTCAGATGAGGGTACAAGAGCAGAGGAGGTCCCGTAAAGGTCGTTTGGTATTTCCCTATAGCTCCCCGGGTGCATGGGCTGTTTGCATGTGCAAAGTCAGCCAAGCTGTTGCGCTGGCATGGCGAAGAGCGTAAGAAAGACACAATGATGAGGCACCCCACTAATGGCCATGATTGGAGGACTGTCAATACTATGTTCTATAAGGACATCGGTGGAGAGGTAAGACACCTTTTGTTTGCTTTGAGCACAGATGGGATGAATCCTTTCGACTAGGTTAGAAGCAATCATAGCACCTGGCAATGACGCTCTGTATATACAACCTTCCACCTTGGGTCTGCATGAAGCGGTCGTACATCTAGATGCCACTACTGATCCAAGGGCCAAGACAGCCTGGGAATGACATCAATGTGTTTCTGGAACCAGTGATCGATGAACTAGTGGAGATGTTTGAAAAGGGTGTGCCAGATGTTTGGGACGAGTACAAAAAGGAACATGTCACGATCAAGGGAGTACTTAATCGCTACAATCACCGACCTGCCAGGTCGAGGTTCGTTGTCCGGAGAGAAGACAAAAGGCTATACTAGATGTGTCTAGTGCTTGGACAACACCGATGCGGTAAATCTGCCAAATAACTCAAAGATAGTTTATATGGGACACCATAGGTTCCTACCTAAGGATCACCCTTACCGCAGGAACATAAAAGATTTCAACGGTGCTATTGAGAAATGCTTAGCTCCAAAATATCAAGACGGGCCTACGATACTTCGAGAACTCAACAAACTGGAGGTTGTCCTTGGGAAGGGGGACAATACAGTAGCAGTGCCTGGTAGGAGCGTTTGGAAGAAAAAATCGGTTTTCTGGAAACTACCTTACTAGCCATTTTTGAGTGTACGCCACTGTCTTGATCCCATACACATCACTAAAAACGTGTGCGCTAACACTCTTAACACCTTGATGGACACCGGGGGGACATCGAAGGATTCACTAGCCACATGCCTGGACATGCAACACTTGCGAATCAGGAAGGAGCTGCATCCCATGGAGCTAGAGAATGGCCAGTTCGAACTTCCAGTTGCGTCATGGACATTGAAGAAGGAAGAAAAGCGTTGGCTTATTTCTTTCTTTAATGAACTCAAAGTCCCGACGGGCTATTGTGTGAACCCGAAGAGGCTAGTGAACATGAGAGAACTCAAGTTCAACTATGTCCCTATGAAGGCCCATGACTGTCATGTCATTATGACTCAGCTGCTCCCTGTTTCCCTGCGTGGTATCCTCCCCCAAAGGTCCGCGCCCCAATCATAAAGCTTTGCTCATTCTTCAACGCGATCTCAAAAAGGTCATTGATGTGTCTACGCTAGAGCATCTGCAGCGGGACATAGCCGAAACTCTTGTTAGGCTTGAGATGCATTTCCCGCCGACTTACTTTGATATCTCATTGCATCTGCTCATTCATCTTGTTGACCAAATTAGAGCCCTTGGCCCAATGTACCTGCATCAGATGTTTTCTTTCGAAAGATTGATGAAAGTTTTCCGGAGGTATGTTAGGAACAGATTCAGGCCAGAAGGGGGTGTGGTTGAAAGATGGTCAACGGAGGAGGCCATTGAGTTCTGCACATATTATCTGGACATCAAAAGGGTTGGAGTTCTAGAATCTCGTCATGAGGGAAGACTACGTGGCAAAGGAACGATAGGGGAGAAATCTGTTATAGTAGACGACCCTGTTTCTTTTAGACAGGCATAGTTCGTTGTTGTCTAGCAAGCTGAGGGTGTGATGCCATACATTGACGAGCACAGGTAATCGCTGCAAACTCTATATCCGAGCAGGTCACAGGCTTGGCTAGATAAAAAACATAAGGAGGAATTTGTCAGCTGGTTGTGACGTCACTTGCTTGGAATAAAGTTGGGTAATCAACTGAATGCCTTAGCCAAGGGGCCTTCGAGTACATATCTTAAGTACCAAGGGTATGAGATCAATGGATTCACATTTTACACAAAAAAGCAAGATGGAAAGAGCACATACCAAAATTGTGGTGTTCGTTTTGATGCTCACGACGAGAACGGCAACGTGCAGGCGACATACTATGGTTTCATAGAGGAGATATGGGAGCTAGCCTATGGTCCATTCAAGGCAGCTCTTTTTCGCTGCTAGTGGGTCCGGCTCGAGGAAATCAACACTGACAGCGAAGGGTTCACTACCGTTGATCTCACTAAGACCGCATACAGAGATGACCCCTTCGTCCTTGCAAGAGATGTTATGCAAGTCTTCTATGCAAGGGACAACAAGACAAAAGGAAGGCTAAAAGTAGTTTTAGAAGGGAAAAGGAAGATTGTCGGTGTCGATGGAGTGACGGATGAAGAAGACTACAGGGGCTATCAGGAAATGCATCCATTCGGGGTGAACGTACCCCTACCTATCCTTCAAGATGGTGATGAACTTGCTTACATACGAATTGATCAAAATGAGGCCCTCATTGTTGATGCACCTAAAGATAGTTAGATTATT